CCCCCCCCCCCCCCCCCCCCCCCCCCCCCCCTTCTCTCTTTCTCTACTCTCTAGCTTCCTTCCATCACTTCCTCCACATGTCCCTGGAGTCCTGCCAGTTATTTGTGGACCTTCCCCTCTTCAAGGCCTCCTGTACGAGATTACTTTCAGTGCAGGGATCATGTGACATTCCATTGTTCTTTCTCCAAAGGACCATGAATGGAATTGAAAATTTGGAGCCCAACAAGGCTCACTCTCAAAGGAATTCGGCCTTAAATTTATGATACACACAGCAAAATTTCAGGGCACAGCATGCATTTTCAGAATAACAGTTCGTATAGTCTTCATTTGAAAACAAGTATACCAGTCTATACTTGAAACCCCTTTCCAAAATGAAGCTATCGACAACCATTCAGCTGCGCAGGACACTTTCCTCGTCACAGAGGCAGCTGGTCGAGTGATCAAGGATGCTCAGGAGCAATCATGATAGCCAAGTGAAATGTGGGATGACAACTTCACCGCCGAGCTAAGGGTGGCAGAAACCGCTAATTTTGCTAAGAGCGGCCTGCATGGAGTGATGAAATGTGACATAACGAAGAAACAGCTCTTTCAGCACTCGAGATAGAAGCACTAGACGTGACAAGAGAATCCTGTTTGCGGATGTGTGTGACCTTATCAGCTGCTGAGTCACAGGGAATGCCCATGTTCAGAAGAGTGCACAGCTGCAGGGATAACTTTGGCAACAGCTTTTTCAACTTCCATTTCCATCAGCCCTCCTTCCCTTGCTCTCGCTTCCTCACTGTTGCCAAGTTAAACGTGGGATGACGACTCCGCGGCTGAGCGAAGCGTGAAAGAGCCTGCTATCTTTGCTAAGAGCTGCCTGCATGCAATGATGAAATGCAACATAAGGAAGAAACAGCAGAAAGTAGGTAGAAGGTAGGGTTCAGGGTTTAGGGCTTAAGCATAGGAAAAGCAGCAGAATAGCTTTAATCGGGTCCTCGACAGGTCCTCGACGGGTCCCGTCAAAAGCATAACACTGGGTAATGCTCCCAGATCCAGCCTTTATGTTGGGTGGCCGGCCCCATTCCTTTCAATTAAGTAATGTAAAAAAAAAAAAAAAAACTCTTTCTGGACTCCAGATAGAAACACAAGATGCAACAAGAGAATCCTGTTTGTGGATGTGTGTCGCCTGACAGCTGCCAAGCCACAGGGAATGCCAATGCTCAGCAGAGTGCACAGCTGCAGGGATAACTTGGGCGACGGCTTTCTTCAACTCCCATTTCCACCATCCCTCCTCCCCTCGCTCTCTTGCGCTCCCTCCCCCTCTCCCCCACTTCACGCAGCCTTGATTGGTTAGTCGGGATGAATGTCGGGTAGGTGTGTGGCGCCAAGTGCAAACCCTCGCACTGCGATCCACTCATGCACTCCCTGCCCACATGGACTGCCTCTTCCCCTTTCACCCTGACTGAACAGTGAATAGTATGAATACCCATCACATGCACAAAAGCATGCAATGAATACCGCGCTTACAATCGTGTCAATTTCTCCAGTTTCGGGTGTGCCATGCAGTGTGTTGCCTGTAATAGCAAGCAGCAATAGAGGCATCTGGAAAGTCCTTGGTGTGCTGGTAGCCATGTTGCGGGGTGACAGGTGTGAAGCTCAAACAGGCCCGACAAGCTTATGAGACCAGCCGGTGCGATGGATTGCCCTGGATTAGAGAGTGAGACAAATGACTGTCTGCACTCCAGTGTGAATGCTTTGATCAGCTGGATTATGTTTGTGGTGAGAGCAGATGTGTTGTGGCAGCTATGGTGGATGGTGTATTAAGCCATGGAGTTAAGTTGGGTTGTGTGTTCTGAAATCTTTTGTTGAAGCTTTTCCTGCTGCTTTTGCTGAAACTGGATTTTGCGTAGCAAGCAGATTGAGTCAGTTGTCATGAGAAGGTAAGTGGGTGGTCTTCTGGCCCTTGCAACCGTGAATGTCACATTCCCACTCTCCACTGCTGAATGGTAAGTGTGGGAAGCAGCGGCCCAGAACCGTCACCCCCATCTTTCTCCTTATGGAGGTCACCACTCCAGCTACATGTGCAAAGGTTTTGTGATTGTGGAAAGCTTTCTTGGGCGCCCTATTCTCTGGTTTTTCGCATTTCAAGGAGTTGCTCGTCATCCCACGGCTTGCCATGGCTGGTTCTTGGCCACAAATGCTTTGCGAACTGTGCAGGCGGGAACAGCAGTTGTCTGCCCAGGGTTTCACTTACACCCGGACCACACAGCAGGATACTACCGAAAGAAAGGTGTGGTTACAGCTGTCCTCCATATGCAGGAGGGCCATTGAATTGCAGTACGACTCACATTGCATTCCCAAAGCTTTCCATGTCGGAAGAAACGCGTCCCGCATCGAGTTATCTGCCATTCGTCTCCGAACGCGTCATTTCTGACTTTCTGAACCGTCGCACAATTGATTTGCTCCCTTTTTTGGCGAGGCTGCATTTTCCCCTTGATTGCCCGTTTCTTTTTGCCTTTTGCATTATTGCCTTTTCAGGTTCCCTGTACTTCCAACGGAGAACCCGCACGTGAGATTTCAGTTCCAAACAGGAACTGCCCCCCCATTTCCAAAAGTCTTTGGCACACCCCCTTTTTAGCTCATTTCCGTCCCGGTTCCAAGTTTCAACAGAAAGCACCATGAGCTGCCACAGCAAGAGGGCAAACAACCTGTCGATGAATACGTATGTTTCAGACACAACCCCTTTGGCTCATTTCAGGCCCGGTTCTAAGTTTCAACAGAAAGCTCTGTGAGCTGCCACTGCAAGAGTGCACACAACCTCTCGATGTATAATTATGTTTCAGAACGTACATGCCAGCCGTTGCAGCTCAGTGATCCACTGTTTGGAAACAGTGTGAACCTGCCAGAAAGTCACTAGCTCAGTGGTAGCAACGATCTCTGGCTTTGCCACCATGAACCATTTCTTCCACTCTGCCATGAGGTCCAGTCACGTGATCAGGGTGTGCGAACTGGCAATCTCCACTCTTGTGCTAGTGCCAGGTTGTCCAACCACTACTATTCTTTGCCTATGGAATGCTGATAGAGGCAGCCATGATAAAGATAATGTGGTATCTGGTGCATATCCAAGGCCAGCAACAAACTGATACCGCCACTGTATGGGGTCGGTCTTGGAATTGTCCGCGGTGGAGATGCCGACCGCTGGAACTTAGTGATTCAATGTTTAGAAACAGTGTGAACCTGCTGAAAAGTCAACAGTTCAGCGGTCGCAATGATCTCTGGCTTTGCCACTATGAACCGTTACTTACAATCTGTCATAAGATCCAGTCATATGATCATGGTGTGCAGATCGCGATCTCCGCTCAGTCTCCAGCACACTGCCAGGTTGCCTAACCACGTCTGTGCTTTGCCTATGGAATGCTGATAGAGGCAGCCATGATAAATATGGTGCGGTATCTGGCGCATATCCAAGGCCAGCAACAAACTGATACCGCCACTGTATGGGGCTGGTCTTGCGGCTGGCCTTGGAATTGTCCACGAACACTAGTATGTGATCAGGCTTTACTGGCTTAGGAGTGCCACCATCATTTAATGCCTGGTGCCACAACTGCTGTAGCTGCTGAATTTGCCAAGGAAACACATTGGGCTTTCTTCTGTGCTCCGGCAGGCTCGTCCTCCTTTCTTAGTCCCTCCCTCTCCTCCAACCTTATGGTTCCTTTCCGGCCTCCTCCTCTGCTACCTTCCGCTGAACTTGCTGAACATACGCAGCCATGTTAGCCAAACAGTCTGCCAGCAATTTACCCAGTTCCATGTGCTAAGCCTTTGGTTCCAGTGTGTGTAGTCTCGTCTCATGCTGTTAGAGCCGACTTCCAGCTGTGGATCGGGTATGGCCTGAACGGACCAGAATCTTCAATGGTGTCCATGCCACTTCATGGAAGTCCACCATATCTAAGCAAATAAGCTGTAACTTGCTTCCCTGACATTCTGAGAGAGAATGAAGACCTGGCGGGATGACTGAAGTTCTCTGTGACCGTAATATATGAGAAAACACTTCACAATGCCGGGTTGAATGCCCTGAAGTATGTGCTATATATTGTCACATAACTATGTGCTAAAAGAGGGCACTTTGCGAAACAAACGGTAAAGATTGAAAAAAACAAAAACAAAGATGAGGGGCACACTGAAACTATTCATTTTGCTATAGATCACAATGTGTCATACTTCACCTTCTAGCGATCACTATGTGCTATATAGAGATCTCAATGTGCGATATAGAGTACTATGCCCTGAAGTATGTGCTATAACTGAGGATACCAATGAGCTCTTATCGCCCAGTGGGGTTGTTAACTTGGTAGCATTTCTTGATGATGATTGCGGACAACATGTAACAGCAAATGCAGCCAGGGCAAACCAGTAGGAGGGTAGGCAGGCAGAGAGGGAAGCCATGGCTACCGGTAGGGGCAATGACAACAACAGCTGGGCAACAAGCAAGGTTGATGTCAGCAGCAATCGACGCAGGCTCTATCTCTTCTGTTTCTTTAAGAATGTTCTCAGTTTCCACAGTATGTGGCTTGCATACTCGGTATGTTGGATTCAGTGGACAACAACTGACAAGTCTGTCTTTTTTTTGTGGCCCCCACACATCGATAAAAAAAGAAAATGGCACACTAGCAATGATAGGTTTTGCGGAAATGTACCCAAGAAGGTCAAACATGTTCTCCATATCCACAAGCGACTGCCGCACGTCCCTATACCAAAAGCCTAGAAACTGCACCACGAGCATCATCATAACGAACGGCAAGGAAAAAGCGGAAAAATTGTCAGTCAAGTTGAACCCGAACAAGCAAAGTCACAGTAGTCCCAGTGTATCTCTGTGCGGTACGGGTGTTATATCTCTGGCCTGTGTCTCAGTTTGTCACAATAGACTTTCTATACCGTAGATCAAGCTTACAGTACCTATTAGGAGGAATTGAGCCTGATTTGATCAGAGTTCAGTGTGGAAACCTGTATTATTTTGTAGATATCACTGCCTATGGTTGGGTTCTGTTATTGCATGACAAGAGAGTTTGAACAAGCCCATACGTGAACAAAGATCAAATCCAGCAGCAAGAAAACAAAAGGAGAACACTGAAAGAGAAGAAGAGACGAAAGTACAGACATAGCAGAAAAGGTGAGCAACACGGCGAACACGCCATATTAGTAATGCTAAAAAAAACAGGGCTGGTCCCTGGATGGACCGGGGACCCCTACCCCATCCGCGGTCCTCCCGGTTGGACCGGCCGGTGGCCCGGGCCGGTTCCCTACCGGTTGCCCCCAGCGCATTTTCGCTGGGGGCTGAATTTTTTTTTTTGTCGGCGCGTATGTGTTCCCGAGGCCTCGTGGGGGCGGGCCCTGCCCCGCAATTTCGAAACCGGGTCCTGTAGGCCCGGATTTTTCAAGTACAGAAAGTGGCCAATCTTGGCCGCCGATCGTCGCAGATCAGCGGCAAAGATCGGCCAGGACCCCATTTCTATAAGAAAAACGGGCAGAGTATATCCGCCGCTGATCTGTGCAGATCAGCAGCGGAGAACAGCCATGCATTTTTCCTAAGATGTGGGTCAGGTAGGCCCCTAATCCAATTTGTCATCTTGTGGTCCAATGGACCAGTTACCAGTGGCAACATCTGATGCTCTTTCACCCTCAGCCACGAGGGGAACACTATGCTTCTGATGAGTGTGAGGATTGAGCCCTCAAGTAGGGGCCTTGCCATGATGTACATGTTCTGGGCTAAAGCCCCAGCAAGCCTCGTGCCCACCCTAAGTGAAGGCGGGCCGGCAAATCAACAAGAGCCCTCTGTGCCAACATTTCACGAAGTGGGGTTCATACAGTTGCAGCACGCCAGTTGGTTGGAGTGCATCGAGTCTCGGATTTCAGCAAATGCTGAAAGCCCAGGGCCTCTGAGTTAGTTAGGCCCTGGGCACTCGAACATGAGGCCGACAATGCATGCTGGGTAGAGAAGCCGAAAATGCCAAAGGGAAATCGGCCCACTATCTGAATCTGGCCACAGGCCTTGATGAAAGAGGCGCAACTGCACTCCCCGGGGCCCAACTGTATCGAGTTGGCTTCAGCCTCTGGGTCCCGGTCGCAGGCTGAAGGGAGGCCGCACACTCGCTGCATTGGCATATAGGCAAGCAGGGCGAGGCAGCGGGGATCTTGGCCAATGCTGGCACTTGCGGGCACGCTGCGCGGATGCATGTGTGCTGCGCTGTGCAAGGCAGTGCTGCGCTAAGAGCAAGCAGGCCAGCGCTAGGTGGTAGGGCGCTGCCTGCATACAGGGCGCTTGGCGGCCATAGCCGGGCTGCAGAGGGCGCAGAGGGGTAAAGGGTGAAGGTGGTCTTCGGAGGTGAAGGGCGCTGTGTGGGTACAAGGGAGAGTGTGGGGAAGAGGACACGTACCTGGTGATGGTGGAAGACAGCATTGGTGTTGACATCATCACTCGCTGGTAGTCAAGTTGTCTGGTTGCTGTTCATTGCTGTAGTTGTAGGATAGGCTGTGGAGTAGATAGGGCGCCTGGCGCCATTCACAAGAGAGAGCTACATTTGGGTTATGCTGTTGGTGTTGCCCTGRTGGGCATSGACATTGACTCACSATTCTTCTGTAYCATTCTCAATKGGATGGTTACTCGGTTCCATGTGCTATCTGCTTTGGCTTTGAATACTTGGACTTCAGTGTGATTTTGCATTCTGGATTTCTGTGCTTCGTCCATACTCATGTTCCTTGCATGAGACTCTGCTTAGATCATATCCTTCTGCGACGTCCCTGCCATCTGTGGAAAAAAAGTTATGGGTTCGGATTTTGGAATTGTGATTTCAGAGCCGTCCGAGGTGCAATCCCAAGAATGGACCTAAGCTATAGGGCGTCGCTGCACTACTCTCGACATGCACAAAAGACAAAAATCTTGGCGGTGTATCTTTCCGAATTCTAGCGGAAGATTCACTCTCGTTTTGCACATTT